AGAGAGAGAGAGAGAGAGAGAGAGAGAGAGAGAGAGAGAGAGAGAGAGAGACTGAGAGTCTAGGAATGGATTATCCACAGTATGGCACCTCTCCTGTAACTGCATCATCTAAGTGTGTTTTAGTAGAAAGTCCAACTCCCCAACTACTCCCCAACTCAAATTAACGTGCACTCTCCCTCCTCCTTCCCAGAAAAATCACACCAGTCTCATAAAAAGGACTCATATTTATGTACGGTAAAGAAGCAAACCACTTGTGTGACACAGATAATCAATACTGACCTTTTCCAAGGCCAGCAGTTGATAGCCCTATAAATATGATCAATCATTTCTAGAAAAATGGGGAAAAAGACACTGGTCATCCCTATGCCCCTTGGGTTACATGTTTCGTAGGTACACAGCAAGGCATCTATCACAGCCGTATAGAGGGGAGGCCAGTCATGCCAGGAGTTGCAAACAATGGAAGTCTTTTAAGGAATGGGATGGCTTGTGTTTCAGCAGGATTTAATCACCCTTCACAATACCAGCCAGGATTCTGATGTGGTCAAATCAACCAAGAAATTCTTCTCATGAGACATTTCCTCCTATTTGAAAGACGAAGATGAAAAAATTAAAAGGGAAAGAACTAGGATTGTTTTTCTGTCTTACGGCTTAAAATACATCTCAAGAAGCAACTTTGAATATATTACCAGATAAAAGTTAAATGAAATTTGTCGAGCCTTGTCTAAAATAAGACCAACCAGGTGTTGTGGAGGAGACCAAGGTGTTTCCCATCAGTAAAATGGAACGGTCTTGGCGTGGCTCTTCCCTCCATGTGGGGCTACGTCCTCGCCTGAGCCTAGAACATACCACCTCGCTGACTGATGCTGTGTAGAGCACACTGAATCTACCTGTCTCTCCCCTGGCTCTTTGCTTTCATGCGTCCTTGAAAATCTACCAGTGTCCAAATCTCAGACACTGACAGCAGGTCACCTGCTAAGGAGTTTCTGATCTTTAATTCTGAATTCGTTGAAAGGTCATAAGTCAGCTCTTTTGAAATCTTTAACAAAATACCTATTCCCTATGAATTTCTACTTCAGGAGAAGAGAATTAAATGGATAAGGTCTTCAGAAAAACACTGAAGAGCGGGTGAAGAAGGCCTGAAGCACTTCCTTCCTCCTCCACCTCCCACAGGCAATGCCACTTATCTGGTAAGTCTTCAACGAAGACTTGTTGAAGTCTTTGTTGGCCAACACAAGTGATGTCAAACCAAACACTGCTGCTTACTATAAACAGTTTCATTATTTCATGGACCATGAACTATTTCATGTCACACTTAGCTCATTCTTTTCTATGAAAAGATTACCAGGCAGAGAGAAGTAGGAATTATGAGGCATATGATTTACTTGAATATCTGCAAGGCAGCTGACAGGTCTGCCATAGCAATTCTGAAGAAAAGATAGAAAAATTATGAGCCAGATGCTAGTCAAATTATTTGGCTGAACAGCACCTAATTAGAGCATTAAAATCAACCAGGAGGGAAGTGCCACCAGTCAGCTGCGAGGATCTGTCATCTGCTCTTCCTTCGTCACTGCCATTAATGACTTGGAGACACAAAAATAATGGTCGTCGATGGAAATTGAACTTCCTGTTAACACAAAGCTGGAAGAAACAGTTGATAGATATGCTTTGATGGCAGAAGCAGGACCCAAGAAGTCTTGACTGTCTAAAGTGCTAAGCAGAACTTAATAAGATGTGATATAGCAGGGAGAAATGTCAGATCTTCCCTCTAGAAGTGACATCGAATCACAGAAAAAGCAGACTTGGTACAGTTCGAGTTAAAAAATAATAAGAATATCAGGGCCAGGGAGATGGCCCAGTTTGGTCCCTGGTACAACAAATTAATAAAAATATTAAGGTTCTCTCCTACACAATTTAATCAATATAAATATACATTTCAGGGAGACCTGAAATACCTAAAAGGATCTCTTAAAAGACAACAAAATTGTACACCTTATTTAGAATAAAAGTAACTTCCTGAAGTCTTCTACATCAGCCTGATCACAAAGAAAAACTGGCTGGTTTTGGATATTACCACCAAAAAGGACGGAGGGTCAAGGTTTCAACCTGCAGTACACATGAGGGCGTTGGTGGCAACGCTGGGTTTTGAATTAATTAGACTTTTAAATAAAAACATTTTTATTGGAAAATGTATATTATCTATAAATACATATATTTTATTAGATTATTCAAAGGAGTTCACAATCCTCAAAGTTTAATGACTATTGAAAGAAGACTATTTAAGATAAGATGGTAGCACTATTACCCAAGCTATGCTGGAGAAGCATACTGCTGATTTCTACTGTTCTTTTGAAAGGAACACTTAATGCTTAGACTTTTTTTCTGCTTTTTAATTTTTCTGGCCAATTTTGCATGCTTCCATGTAGTAACCTGAACAACTAAATTGAAGACAACAAAATGCAATGTGACTACCACTGTTGAATTCCTATCACTTCATTTAGTGACATTTTGTATTGTTTCTATTTCTTTTAAAAATATGTTTATTGAACTTCCTTTTTTTAAAAAAAAGAAAAGGTAGGCTGGTAGATACAGGGTTGAACAGTGGCCTCCACTAAGACACAGCCAAGTCTTCTTCTTGGAACTGTGAATGTGACTTCCGTGGGGGGAAGACAAGCTTGCTGCTTATGTCATTCAGTTGAAGAGCTTAAGCTGAGGTCACTCCAGACCACCAGGACTCTAAATCAAATAACAAGATTCCTTAGACAAGAAGAAGAGAGCTGCAGTGAGAATGTCAGAGGAAGATGGGAGCAGGAATTGTAGCAACTCAGTGGCAAGCCAAGAGACAACTGAAGCCATAAGATGAAGGAAGAAATAGTTTGTCTCCCCTTTAAGCCAGAGGAAAGGGAAGAGGAGGGAAGCACAGCAGGTGGACCTTCTGGGGATGGTTACGAAGCAGAGGAAGATGCTCTAACAAGATGGTCTACGGGACAAGGGATGCTCCAGGGCAGGTGAACACAGAACTTCAAACTGGCATCTGATCGCATGGCCGGGCTGATGCGGAGCAGGATGCAGGGATCACCCAGAGGCACAGGCTCCGATGCTGAGCCCAAGGATGCTTCCGCTGCTGGCCTCCCCAGCTCTTGGCAGTGTCTGTTCCTGACCTCACAGTGCCCTTTTCGTGAATGCATATGAAATAGGTGCTGTCAGAACTTGAGGTCTGCTTCAGAGTCTTCTCATTTGTATCTTGGCATCCACATTTTGTTTATTTGGCTCTTCTCCCAGAGTTTCTTATACTATGTTTCCAAGGTCTTACCCGAAACTGTGAATTGATACACTAATGTTTTCACTGGGGATATGCTAGTTTGATTTCCCATAAGATTACTTTATTACTCCAAATGCCAAATTATAATCACACTGCTAGGATTATGACCTTTGTTTATTTTCTTAATGGTCTCTACCTAAGATCAACAGGTAAAAAACCCCTTCATGGCTCTAGACATCAATACATTTCTTATTCTGCCATTCACCCTCAGCTCTGAAGAGACCAGAGCGTGCCGTGGGCTCACCCCTCACCGTGGTACCCTAGTGACCGCGGTATCTGGTCTCTCTTCTGCACGAACCTGGCTTCTTCAGTTCTAGCTAATGTTATATTCACTCGCTGTTCATCTAATTAAAGCTTCGGAAGCTGAAGGAACCACAAACACAGCAAAAATAGCAAAATATGCAGGGGATACAATAGGGAGTCATTCAAACTCTCAAGTATTTCTCTTCCTTTTTCATAAGTACCCACAGAACACACGTTAAAATTCACAGAAAGATCTGTGAAAATGAGACTCCCCTATGACCACGGTCAGAAACCATGTCCATCATTTTAGGATGATAAACACACAAAGAGTTTACTCAGTCTTCAACGAGGAAATGAGTCCAGACTGTTTTTGATGAATAATATTTTAAAAACCCACCAAGTTCTCAGACAAAACTTTCTCATTAGCTATATTTTTGCCCCTTAAGTTAAAGAGCTCAGGTCGGTGCGGAACACTTCTCACTCCTGCGGTATCTCTCTGGAAAGAACAAAGAGCTCCATTTACCAGCTGAAGATAAGACCTAGGAGATGGGTTGTGTGACGGCACGAAAGGGATGGGGAGTGTTTCCAGGGAGCACGTGGTTGCCAACTCAGATGCTGTGCTTTAAATGATCTTCTGTGACGTTGCTGGTGCTGTTGAGCTCTCCTTCTGAAGAAGCTCGCGTGATCTTGGCACTGGAGGTGCTCTGCGAGAGTGTGCACACAGATTCCCCAAACGAGGAACCCACAGGGATGCTGAGCATTTGCACTTGCCAGACCCCTTGGGTCACAGTGCTGCGCACCCGAGAGCTGCTGCTCCACGCCACCTACCC